TAAAATAGTACTTTTAATTATCTTAATTCAAACTAATTTCTTTGAATTTATTTTGTACTTTTGAAATTTAAGGTAGAGGTAGTCTTGAATTAATTTTGTAAGTACTTTATAATAACAATTTCTAATCGTTATTATACTATTCCACATTTAAAAAATATAAAATAGTACTTTTAATTATCTTAATTTGAACTAATATTTTGAATTTATTTTGATTTATTTTTGAAATTTAAGGTAGAGATAGTGTTGAATTAGTTTTGTTACTTTAGAAATTTAAGGTATAGGTATGATTAAATTCCAATCGTATTTTATTTAACTTTATCGTAAAATTTCCGATAAAGAAACGTTCCCGTTTACGAAGAAGAGTCGCTCCTTTTGATTGGCTTGAGTACAAAATACACGTGATACCCAATCCGAGTTCTCGGCTCCGCATGGAACGTCCGTATAATACATGAATAGGTAAGAAAAGGAGCATTACTCGCGACTGGCTCTTAATCCGATCCTGGTACGAAGAAAGCATACAACGGAGATGTCTTCAACAAAACTTGCTCACGAATCCCTCAACACGAGAGGATTCGCAAGGATGTCAGTGTCGTATTAAGTTTCTGTTTTTTCACGAAAAGAAAAGCCCGAGCCTTTATTTCACTTTTTCCTTTCATTCTCTCTCTCTCTCTCTCTCTCTCTCTTTCTCTGTTCGTTCCAATATTTCAGGATTGCTCCAGTTCATGAGAATACCATTCAATTCATTTAATTGGTTGATAAAGAAGTGACATTAATTTGCGATGAGAAAAGAAAAGAAAGAAGCGTTACTTAATAAATACTTATATATATATTTTTTAACTTTTTGGATTTCTAATTTTTATCAATAATTAAAAAATTCTCAAGATTAATGAAAATTGTATTATAACGAGATATGAGGATTATATTAAATATTAAACGCGAAAATAATAAATCTAATTTACATTAGCTATCTTAAGATTATTTTAAATTTCATATTTCAAAGATCCACAATATTTAAAATTTCATTAAAATTAATACGAATTACTTTCGTATGAACTTTTAAAGTTTAACGCAGCGATCAAATTCTAATTTAATTAATACGCGGCATGCAGAATATTTATCGAATTAGAAGTATATTAAATATCTTAAGATTATTTTAAATTTCATTTTTCAAAAATCTGCAATATATACGATAAAATTTCATTAAAATTAATACCCGAATTACTATCCTATGTGCCTTCAAAGTTTACCGCAGCGATCAAATTCTAATTTAATTAATACGCGGCACGCAAAATACTAATTAAATTAGAAGTACAGGAAGGGGGAGGGCAAATAGTAAACAGACGGATTTTTTCTTCTCTTTTCTAATTTTAAGTATATAAGATATGATTTTTCACTAAAAGAGTACATTCCACTTTCAAATATACAAAAAACTTAATTAGAGTTTTCATAAGTCACGTATACAGGCTAGATTTTCATAAAAACTGAAACCTACATTTGTCACTATTTGCCCCACCCCATGGGTAAATAGTGACATCCTATGAAACAATTATAAAATACATAATTCTTAACTCCTAACCAATCTTTTTTTTGATATATTGATTAAATAAGGTAATTTATATTAATTTCTATACTCTGCAATATATAAATTTTTATTTATTGATAAATAATAATAGTAACATTATTTGCTAGTATTTCTTATTAAAAATCACATTTATTCTGGATCTTGTCTTGTGATTAATCGTATATAATCCCAAATGAATTAAAAAAATTATATTCAAATATTAAAAAAGCTTTTTGACTTGTCATTATTTACCTAACTAAAAATTGTCATTATTTGCTCCTGGAGCTACTTTTTCCTTTAAAATTTTACTAAAAGAAATAAAATTAATATACCAGCATAGGAATTATACTAAAATGGAGGAAAAAAGTACCGTATGATAGGTGACAAGTACCGTGACACAGAATAGGTTAAATCTCATTCAACGATTTAGCAATTAAGAAAATATATGTAACTTCAAATGTCAAAAAAGATCCAGATTTTATCTTACACAAATGCAAAATTTTAAATTTCTTCGCTAGCTATATTTGGCTTTTGATTTTTACTGCTTTTTCACAAGATGATTAGATGCTTAAGAACTGTCTTTCTATTAAGTACGAGTAGTGATAAAATAGACGCGGAAAAGAGGAGAAATTTAAAGTGACATTATTTGCCCCCGTCACTATTTGCCCCCTTCTACCCTTACATTAAATATTTTAAGATTATTTTAAATTTCATTTTTCAAAAATCTGCAATTATGTATGATAAAACTTTATTAAAGTTACTATCGTATACGCCTTCAAAGTTTCGACGTAGCGATCAAATTCTAATTTAATTAATACGCGCTGCACGCAGAATGTTAATCGATTTAGAAACACTACATACATTAAATATATCTTAAGAGTATTTTAAATTTTATTTTTCAAAAATCCGCAATATGTATGATGAAGTTTCACTAAACTTAATACCCAAATCGCTGTCGTGTGCGCCTTCAAAGTTTAACGCAGCGATCAAATTCTAATTTAATTAATACGCGGCACGCAGAATACTAATTGAATTACAAGTACGATCACGCCTCCCGTGTCGTACATCGTAATTAAATATGCTACGAATAATTTAACGGGAATCCATTCTCTCCGTCGTTTGTGCACCGTAATAAGACGACAATCGTGCGTATTTACGCAAGACTGCACACGATAGTGGGCTGCATACGACACAGTACACACGAGGACTCTCTCTCTCTCTCTCTCTCTCTCTCTCTCTCTCTCT